TACAAATAAGTGAAGCTATGCATTTGAATTTTAAAATCCTATATTTTATGGGATTTTTTTCTCCAGTGAGCAAATAAACAACCAGACATAAGTTCCCTGGGTTCTTAATTCTACTAAGTGGCCAGCCTCAGAAACACGTTCTAGTAAAAACAAGCCTAATTTTAAAAATTGCAAATGAGTTATTTCTTTAAAATGCATTACTTAAAATTCTACATAAAAGAATACTACATTTTTAAGTTTTAAAACTGAAATTAAATAAGTGTTACTTCCAGAGGGAGAACAACTGAAGCAAAGAGAAAACACTACAATTATGTCACCAGAAAAGCATAATTCCATTTACAAAGCCTGGATTTGTGCCCAATTTTTCCAAAATACATCTACTGGATTACATCTCTATAAGACTTTTTCCATAAAAACAAGGATAACAAGGCAAAAAAGTAATACAAATAGAATTCCACTTGAAAAATCAAAGTTCAACATATATCTACACTAGTTCCATCCCCAGCCCATTTTCCATTCTGCTTTACTAATGCAGAGGCAACAAATCTTGTTTGAATACAAAATTCTTAATAGAAAAAGCTTTCATATTTAGCTGTTAATCTACTAAGGCACTATCCTTTCAGAAAAGTGCCATCATACAGTACCTATAGCAAAAAACTACACAATTTAATCTTTTTAATGAAACTGGATTAGCTTTTCAATGTATTATGTTCTCTACACTTTCTATTTAAAAGCTGTTACTAAAGGAGCTTATAAAATGTGAAGGCTCAGGACACAAATAAGCAATGAGGCTGTGTGAAGAACTGGAAGCCTAGAGGTTAACCAACTTCAAATCATCTGTGAATGATAATTTTCAATAACGCTACACCAAACCCTTCATCATACATATAAAGAGCCAAACCATAGTCAGTCAAAATGCAACACATCACTGTCTGCAGTTAGTTTTGCCTGTAATTAAAACACTACCATTTTATGGTTGCTAAAGGTATACACATGAAAAGCAATCATCATCAATTTAAAAAATTGAAAAAGGAAATCAAATTTTATTATAAAACTCTCCTTTTCTGGTTACTTAGAAAAGCATTTCTCAAATATTTATTAAGAAAGTAATATTGAAACCACTATTTTCATCCCCCAAAATGTATAAAAGATATTCCTTTTTAATCAAGAAAATTTCACTTAGCATTTAAAAAAGCTTAGCAGCACAATTGTGGGAGGAGTCTCTCCCAGTAATGTATCCTACAAGAGTATGAATGACGTGAGACAAAATAAGGGCAACAGCCAACTGTGCCGCTAAGCACATGATTTCATTCACCCTTTCTGACTGTCAGGTTCTTCATTTGTCAAATGGCAATAATAACAACTGGATCACAGGATTGTTGAGAAAGTTAAAAGAGATGAGTCATGTATGAATATCTACCACAGTAGCAGGCTAGACATTTTTTTAATTATCAGAAGCACATCCCTTCTCCCACCCCAACCTTCCCCACATATACATTTGAAATCAGGCTGGATTTTTTAAACGATACTAACATTTAATTTAATGTTACTCATTCATCTCCCTCCAGCAAGTGAAGACTATAATTCAAGTAAAGATATATTTAACAACTAAAGATACCTTTAAAAATGAGAAAAATGGGTAACATGTAGCTTAACAACATAGTACTTTTCCTTTTTTCTCTGCCCCTTTAGGCACTCTCCTAGGGAAAGAACAGTTAACCTTTGTTGCCTAAAACCATATTCTCCTTAATCTAACAGCTATGTGCTTATTCAGCAAATAAAAATAATGTGAGGGTCCTCCTAAATTGTGAAAGATCCTAAATTATAAGGCACTAACGGGGATACATTTGAACTCCGCAAACACAGCTGATGTATAAATTTGACAGACTCCCTTTGTAACCTAGTGCTAAGGTAGTCATGTAATTCAGGACACTTACGTCCAACGTTAAACCTGAAGTGACAACAGGCATAAAGAGGTCTATTCCAGACAAATGTGCATTTATAATCACCCTACCCATTGTATTATCTCAAAATTGTACATGTGCAAAATGACCTTTTGCCTCAGAAGAAAAAGGCTTTGTTACTTTTTCTTTTGTAAAAAAAATCACAACTAAACACACCTAGTGGCTAGATATTGTTTTCCAAAAAAAGGAACCAGGGCTCCTATGAAAACTGGATGATGATTCTAGAACTGAGAGAGGAAATATATATTATGAGTCTGGAGCATCTTGTCAGGCCAGAAAATAAGCAAGGGTTCAAAAACACAATGATGAGAGTATGGCAAAGGAACAAAAGATCTGACTGAAAGAACTCTCGATTTGAAGCTGGAATCAATAAAGTTGTTCTGGATTGTAACAAAAAGTATAAAATAAATATCCATGAATCCATAAGATAAATAAAAGATTAAACAAATCAATAAATGGTAGAAACAAATCTCCCATGCAGAATTCAAAAAAATGCTGTTAGATGTTCCACCCTCTAGGAGGTAGAGTATAACCCCCTACTCCTTAAGTGTGGGCTGTGCATAACAACTTCTTTCCGAAAAGTACAGTATGTGGGTAGGGGAGGGGCTCAGGGAATAATTACAGTGAAAAAACCTAACACTGCCTCAACCAAGTGATCAAGGTTAACATCAGCAGTGATGTCATGTTGATAGTACATACCCTTAATAAAATGTGATGAAATGGCACTTTACCTCTGTGACCTTCCTCCCCAAGACACATAACCCCAGTTGAATAATGAGTAAAATGTCATATGGACTATAAAATACCATCAAGTCATCAAAAACAAGATAGAGTCTGATACAGTCATCAAAAACAAGAAAAGTTTAAGAAACTGTCCCAGCCAAGAGAAACCTAAGAAGACATAACTACTAAATGTAATGTGGCATCCTGCATGGGTAGGATCCTAGAACAAAAAGAACATTAGGTAAAAACTAAGGATATTTGAATAAAGTGTGGACTTTAATAATAACGTATCAATATTGGTTCATTATGTGGAACAAATGTAGCTTACTAATATGTTATAATGGGTGGAACTGGATGCAAAGTAGATGGGAACTCTGTATTATCTTTGCAATTTTTCTATGACTCTAAAACTGTTCTAAAATTAAAAGTTTAAGAAAAATTAGAAAACCTTAAAATATTTTATATAGAGATTAACATTATGCACTATGGCCCTCATTCTGTCCAAATATAAGCCAGTCATTCACTATTTATGATATTCATGTTGTCCTGAGGAAATGATGGAGGTCTACATGCAGAGAGAAGTTGACAGTGGAGAATCCTCCTTCATCTATCCATTTTCAGCATCCGGCAGTGTACTGCACTTCACATGTATGTCAAGTTAAGTAGTTTAAACTAATACTCACAAGTACACACAAATGGTTTAAAACGTCTCAGACAAGAAACAGCAGGTAGAACATAGGCATAAGCAAGTAGCCAAAGTGACATTCCTTCATTCCTCGTATGAGTTCTTTATCAGTCACAATATGAGGTTAGTCATTATTCAAAGATGCTTTTAACTAATGAAATGTGACCAGAAGTAGGCCAAGACATTTCAAAATTATTAAGAAGTCTATCAGCCCTTAGTGGATTTTTATTAATGTAATGAATAAACAAACGTTAGATACATGTATTTTAAAATAGTAACAACTTGAGAAGCAACAACGATTGCTTAATAGCAATAACCATTCCTATTAACAATGAACCCTGCCCTTTGTATGAAGATAATAGCTAATGATAGCATGACGTTTTCATAATTAGCACAAGATATATCCAGATTACGAAGATAAGCCTTTCTAATTTTTAGTGATGTTTAAAATCATGCTACTCCCAATCTAATATTTTATGAAATTTCACAAAAGGTAATGACAAATATGCAGAAGATTTTACAGATGTTGTCTTCTTGTTGAATTCTGTTTTGACAATGAAATGGATGAAAATGATATAAGTATCCTCAACATATGCTCAACAGCAAATGACTTCCTTAAGGAAAACAATGTTGTAGCTAAAATTGTGTAAGTGTAACCAGTAAGAAAGCAACCACTTGTTTGGAATAACCTGCACATTGTGCACATGTACCCTAGAACATAAAGTATAATAATAAAAATTAAAAAAAAAAAAGATTCTGACATGCTATCCATCATATGAGGATACAAGAAGACATACCCTCATCAGATAATGGATTTACCAGCACCTTGATCTTGGACTTCCCAGCTTCCAGAACCATGAGAGATAAATGTTTATTGTTTTGTGTTTTTTAGGGAAAAAAAAAAGTTATGAAGTAAGGTTAAAGGGTTAGCACTACACATATAATTCATTTTTTCAATCATTCATAGACAAGCAGTTATAGAAAAGTAGATGAATCCAGAAATGTACAGAGTGCTACAGGATATCGCTAATGTGGTTAATTTCATAGAAACAAGACCTTTAATAAATAGAGGAATACTTACAAACTATAATGAGATGTGTAGGAACTATCACACAGTGTTTAAGTGACTTAGCTCCCGAACTGGACTGCATGGGCTGGAACACCGGCAATAGAATTTATTAGCTATGAGATCTTGGACACATTACTTAATCTCTACAAGTTATTATCATCCATAGACTGGTGACAGAATTGGTGAATGTTTTACAAGAGATAATTCATGTATAGCACTTAGAACAATGCTTGGCACACAGTATGTATTCAATAAATGTTAGCTATTATTGGTTACTATTATGAGAATAATCATAAAAATCTTTTATACCACAAAAAATTCATTAATCATCTTTTGGCAAAGAACTTAGAGGTGATCAACCTCAGAGATGAATTACACATTTTTCTTTTACAAATAAGTAAGCATTCCAAATTTGCTGGCCTATTCTGTGATATTTTGTAAACCAGAGTCTATGAGAATACTCCATCAGTATCTCCTGCTAAATTAGTTATATTGATAGTGTTAGCCACAAATATCTAACAGAAAGTACTTCATCAGAATTTTAAAATAGTATACATACCCTCAAATCAGGAGAAAAGTTGTCAGCAGAAGTTGAAATGGAATCTGATGACACAACAGAAGCTGATTTTGTATGCACTGAATTCTCTGAATGAGAAGTGGAGGCACTACAAAATACAAAAGTACAGTATGTTGGAAAAGTGGGGGCTTCAAAGACCAGTTTCAGACATTGTATTTAATATAACTCCAATACTTATTAAAATTCCCACAGCCAACTAAGTTCTGCTTTCCCTGTTCAATCTTATTTCTAAATCTTAACAAATTACAAACTATTCCTGCTGGGTCAAGTATTCTTACGATCTAAGTTCCATCTGGACAGACTCCCAATACTCATGAAGACACTCCAGGATAATTCCTTCTTTTTATCCATTCACCCATCCATTCATTCATTCAAAGAACATTCATTAAGTGGTCCAATGTACAAAACCGCTACACCAGGCACTGTGATTTGAAAATAAATACGACATCATCCTCATGTTCATGAAGCTCACAAGCTTGTGACACAGACAAGTAAATAAGTGGTGCAATGTGATGACTATAAATAGAAACACATACACACACACACACGCGCACACACACACACACACACACACACCCCACATACATACAAGTATCTACGGGAGAAAAGAAAAGGAAGCAGCCAATTCTGGCCAGAAAGTTCAGGGAAGACGTCTCAGAGGAGATGATATTCAAACTGAGTCTCGAAAGATAGGAGATCATCAGACAAACAAGGAAATTTCAAAAACTAACAAAAGGCAAAGCAAAGGTATAGAAGTATCAAAGTCTACAGAACATCTCAGACACTACAAATAGTTGAATAAGGCTGAATGGATAAAAGAACAGATAAAGATGGAAAGAGAAGCTCTTTGTACCTTGTACATTCCCACCGCATCAAACAGCCCTGCCTTAAGTATCTACTTCTTCCATTATAAGTAATCACTCAACACAGTTACTTTTACTTTCTTAAATTCCTATAGAGCTTTTTTTTTTTTTTTGAGACAGAGTTTCACTCTTGTCACCCAGACTGGAGTGCAATGGTGCAATCTCGGGTCACTGCAACCTCTGCCTCCCAGGTTCAAGCGATTCTCCTGTCTCAGCCTCCTGAGTAGCTAGGATTACAGGCACCTGCCCCCACACCCGACTAATTTTTGAATTTTTGTATTTTTGTAGAGACGAGGTTTCACCATGTTGGCCAGGCTGGTCTTGAAGTCCTGACCTCAAGTGATGCACCTGCTTCAGTCTCCCAAAGTGCTGGGATTACAGGTGTGAGCCACCATGCCTGGCCAAACTTTTGATACCTGATCACACTTTCATTGTTTATTTTATCTCACCAACTAGTGCCCCAAGAACAAAAATTATGTCTTTTTTGGGGGAGGGGGGAGCACGGGGGAGAAATGAGGTCTCACTATGTTATCCAGGCTATTCTCCTCAAACTCCTGGCCTCAAACGATCCTCTCACTCAGCCTCCCGAAGTATCGGGATTTCACGCATGGACTACCATGCTCAAGCCTATACTTCTTTTTTATTTTCCACAAAATCTACTTCAGGACCTGTGTACACTGTTAATATGTATTATGCTTGTTAAATTTTAAAATCTGTGACAATATGCCACAAACTGAATAACTGATTCATTTCCTCTTATCAGTAAAACAAAGTTAAAATTATTTAAGGTAAGATCAATGGTAGAAAAACCTCAAATACCTTGAATTGAGTCTTTAAGTTCAGATTTTCAAAAATGTATTTTTCTAAAACATATTAAAAGTCTTTCTTCTACCGGAAGTCAAAATTTTTTTCACTAGATTTTGAGGAAATACTTCACCTTTGAGTTGTGATAGTGTTAAGAACCATTTAGCTTTAAAACAAATTCCATTTATTCCTTACAAACCTGTCTATAACAAGAACATCTAAAATACTTATACAATGTTCAAATCACCTCCCCCCAAAAGAAACTGTCACTTCATTTAAATGAATGAAAAGTGGTATTCTGGTGCAAACACAACAGAGTATTTCCAACAACCTATACTATTATACAAAAAAGTAGTCATAAGAAATTATATTACATAGTTTTATAATGTAAGGAAAGAAAAAGTGATAGGCTGTGAATGTTTTCCTTTTTCTTTGTATCTAAATTCTGATTAAATGTCATTTTCCTTAAAATAACAGGTAAAATAACCAAATTTTAAGCACAGTACTTTGACAGACATTGTTAGCTTCCTATTTCAAATAAATTCCCCTTTCTCTCTGACTTTGATCAGGGTAGTTTGTGCCCTGCTGAAGATAAGAGGCTCGCTATTCTCTTCCTTGTGGCTAGGAGAGCCATGTGAGTCAATTCCAGTCAGTGGGATTTAGCGGGAAATCTGCTAATGATTATAGAAACCTTTTATTTTCTTAATAAAGAGGAGCAGAAACAGCAGGGCAGTCTTTATCCTTTCCCATTTCTCTTGCCTGAAATAAGAATGTAAAGTTTGGAAACACAAGAGCCATCTTATAAACATTAGCAAGATGCTGGCCTGCTGAGGACAGGGAGCCAAAGAATAGGATGAGCATAGGTTTTTGTAGCATCACTAGGCCAACAACTCTCTACCTCTGGAATTCTTGTTATGTAACATAAATGGGTGAGCATGGCTGTGTGTGCCTGTAGTCCAAGATGCTTGAGAGACTGAGGCAGAAGGATCACTTGAGCCCAGGAATTTGAGACCAGCCTGGGCAACATGCCAAGAATCCATCTCAAAAAATTAATTAAATAAAATAAAAACTTTTTAATAAAATAAATGAACTAAAATGTTTAAAATCTCTGCAATAGAGTCTGTTCTATACAGTCAAACACAATACAGCAATCAACATCTCATAAAGTCTAGTTATGGCAAGTTCAAATGTATAATGCTATTTTATATGCATATGCCCTTCTGGGAGAACAGAAAACCTCTTAAAGGCAATTGAATATAACTTGAAATTACAGAAAGTGTATTACCTAGAAGAATAATACTGACAGAAAGACTACTGTAGCACGTAGCGCCAAGAAACCAAATGACTGTCTGGTTGGGTGTGGTGGCTCACGCCTGTAATCCCAGCACTTTGGGAGGCCGAGGAGGATGGATCGCTTGAGCCCAGGAGTTCGAGACCAGCCTGGGCAACATGGTGAAACCCCCTCTCTACTAAAAATAAAAAATTAGCCAGGAGTGGTGGCACATGCCTGTAGTTCCAGCTACTCAGAAGGCTGAAGCATGAGAATCATTTGAACCTGGCAGGTAGAGGTTGCAATGAGCTGAGATCATACCACTGCCCTCCGGCCTGGGCGACAGAGTAAGACTCCAACCATTAAAAAAAAAAAAAAAAAGAAAAAAAAAAAAACCAAATGGTTCTTTAGAGCCAAAGCATAAAGTAAATAAATTTAAGAGAGAGAAAATAACAAATCCAGGTACTGGAACTTGTACTTTGCAGTCTCAGATTCAAAGAATCAGTCTTTCAAGCCAAAGTGTGGTAAACAGCCTTTAATTATTACCTTCTCTTTTCAGACACACATAAACACAGGCAGATATTATGACCCACAATGTTATAGTTGAATAAGCACTAATGTATATTTCTGTGTAACCAGTCTACAAAGGGTTTCACTTTCCAGGCAAATACTGAGGAGCTGGAGGGGTACAGTGTGAGAATATATCATAGTACTGTTCTTGTGATTATGGCAGAAATGCGCGCACACACACACACACACACACACACACACACACAGAGAGAGGGAGAGAGAGAGAGAGGCAGAGAGTGGGGGAGAGAGGGAGGAGAGAGAGCACACAGGAGAGAGGGAGAGAGAGAACGAGAGGGAGACAGCATGTGAGAGAGCGAGTAATCACACAGGCGCACACAAGCGCAGCAGAACTGTTAAAACTTCTGGTATAAACGTGAAGTGCTGCCTTTAGCAGCTACTCAGACTGAAGGTGGCCATGGGCACACTAGGATGCATAGTTCTCTTTTCTGTAGTTGTTTGTTTTCTTCTGTCATACTGGCTCTGTACATGCTTGTAGTCACCATAGCTACCGGTATAACACACGCTAATTTCCACTGCTTTTTTTCCACTTCTCCCTTGCTCATCTTGAAGTCAAGCTCTCTATGTTTATTTTTTATGAACTGTTCCACAAACAAGCTCTGTATTTCCCAAAATTCATGCCTTTGCTTCAGGGCTTTCCAAAATAGAATGTTCCTTTACCCTAATCTATTTAATAACATCCTACCTACCCTCTAAGACCTGGTTTAAAAAACTAGCTTCTCCAAGAAGTCTTGGAGTCTTCCAAGAAGGTCTTCCAGTTGGAACTAAACTCTCAGTCTTCTACACTTTCATAGACTTTATCTATAACTGCACTTAACACTTCCCACATTAGACTAGAGAACTTCAGTTACATGGCCACCTCTTTTTTAAATTACAAACTCCAAAGAATAAGAATCTTATAATTAGCAAGGCATTTGAACTTGGAGCAGAAACTGCAGTCTCTAACTTCATTAAGTAACCGATACCATTTTGGTCCTCAGATTTCCTAGGCCTACACACTTCACCTCAGTCCATCCAAACATTCCTGTTTTCCTTGTCAACCTAGGCCTCCCTTCCACGTGCTAAAACTTCTACTCAACACTCTGTCGCATATGTTCATTACCATATTACTGTGTGTTTCCTATACCCCACTTTTCTCTGTCCAAGCCTTCTTCAACTACTAACTCTCTTCCTAATCTTCATCTGAATGTTTTTGTCCACAGTGAATAAACTCCCCTACATCTTTAACAGGATTCTCCCCTTCACCTCTGCCTCAACTGACCTTCCCTCACAGGAATCCACTTCCCTGCAGACTTTAATAAGAGACTTTTTTCTTTTCCCACATCTAACAATGCCCAAAGATGAAACAAGCATTTTCCCAGCTGAACTTTCAGGCTTCTACATTAGTATTATTTTTGCATCTTCATATATAAAAGCCTTCTTCCTCTAAGGTTCATGGCTTTTCAGTATACAACCTCCTTGTTACTATCATCCACCCACCCATCCTCCTCACTCACTAAGGGTTTTCTCATCTGGCTCACTTTCTTCTCCAGCATTTCTTTCTACTCCAAAGCTGCCATCATTATGGGAATTTTATTATCCATAAACTATCAACCATCTAGCTCAAAATTCCTCAATTCCTACATCCCTCATGCACAATCCCACTTCAGTAATGTACATCTTGTTATTACACCTTGGACTTTATCATTTCTGGGAATTACCCTGCCACCATAATCTTAAACTTGAGGAAATTAATCTTTGACCTGATGCTGACCCTTTCTAAATATTTAACTTTCTTAACTTTCCCTTCATCTCATCTTCAACCTAGTAGAGCTACCCAGACCCTCAACATTTCTATTTTTTATTATCCCTCATGATTCATTGCCCTCCCTTGCCCACTTCACTTCCCTTCCTAACCATCAGTGTCCCTATATCCGTATCCATTAGCCATGACTGTCCTGCTAATCCCTAAATGTGGACCAACATAACCATCTTTCTTGGCTACTAGTAAAGGAAATCTTCAAACTGGGGCCACTTAAGACTTATAATTAGAAACATCAGCTAGGCCCAACACAGTGCTCAATGATTCTCCCATTCCCCAAGTGACTTTTTTAAACCATAACCATCTTTTTCTCCCACACAGCTATCACATCCAATCAATCCAAAGTCCTGTACAGTCTATTTCCGTACTATCCCTTGGGTCTATCTTCTATGCTACTTTTTATCATCCTAATACCACTTTTCTGGACTACTGCAAATTACTTGTCTCTTTTCTCCTGCTCATCCAATATATCATCCCAAACCAAAACCAAAGTGATCTTTCCAAAACCCAAATCTGATCATATCAATCCCTTGCTTAAATCTTCATTGATTCCTCACTACCTACCAAATCAAGCCAAAACTCCTCAGCATAACACTCAGTTTTCAACAATCTGGCCCTTGTTCTAC